ACAGTCCATCAGTTGAATAACAGACAAATCTCTCAGACACATCGGAGCCCTATTCAGATGCAATGATGAGAATCTTCATTCGATAACAGCTTTCGTTGATATTTAATGTCTGTAAAAACTCTAATCGTCAACTTAAATAACGGAAATGAGAGAGGAGATCCCTTGTGGTATCTTTTTATTTCAAAGGATGTTGCTATATGAGAACGAATTCCCTGGAGAAACTTTTATACGATGCTTGTTAGCTTCACTTCCAGATCTCTTCAAGATTATTTTGAAATCCTGGAGAGACTCGTCAGTTTCCTTCAGAAGTCGCCGTAACATTCGGTTGCTTTCAATTTTCAAGCTGTAATTTTCAAATGCTGCTGAACATTTTTTTCGGAGAGGTTTAAAGTAATCGTATAAGACGATTACTAAGCAATCATGGAAGATGATTACTGAAAGGTGCTAAGTATTTTAAGAGATAAAATATCCCTTGATCTACGACCTTGAATGCTATAAACTTTCATGAATGATGGTTTTGAATTCACAGAAAGCGTTGATGTCTACTGCAGCTTCAACTCGCCATAGAATTTCTGAGAAATTGACAAACCTATTAGAATAGCTTCGGACATCTTATCTAAGATATACCAGGAAAGCCTCATAGTGTGTTCATCTGATAGGCTGTTGAAAATTTGAGTGTCTGTGCGAGTCCTTATGATAATGTTCTTCATGGTCGTTCTCTTCGTAGTAGATGAACAACATGCAGTGAATGCTGTTTGGAAGAGACTTGTTTAGAGGTCTCATGAAAGATTCAAGTGCTCAAGCAATTTTCGTTCTTTTGGATCATGCGAATGGCTGATGATCGAGCTGATTGTTTGTTATGAAGAAGCATCCATATCAAATTCAAAAACGCCACGCGTCGTCGGTTGTCCGTCAACAATTGTTTTTTCCTCCGACTAGAATGATGATGAACGTCCGGATATTACGTGACAACAGTCGTGTCTTCTCTTCGATCCTATGCCGAATCCACAAAACTCAGGATACGTTGCGATGGCCTTCCGTGCTTTCTTCTCATTTCGTTACCGAACTCACCAGACTGATTTCGGCAATAGCAACAGCAACAACAACAACTATTACTACACCACTCTGTTGCAAGCAAACCTCATCGTTATTTCATGAAACCAATGCCTATGTACGTTTTTGTTCTGGATCTCTTAAACGAAAATATACATATAGCGTGTGAGTCTAGTTAGCGAGAGAAAAAACCGAAACATAGTATTTGTGCTGTTTAGGTGATGATCGGCGGTGAGAAAATGTTGTAGTACAATAGGTAGCAATGCCGAATATTGCAGCATTAGTAGCCGACTACCCAGGATTTCGAAACCCATTAGGTTTGCTTTGTTTCTAGTGGATTTATTTCGACCACTTCAATGAATCCGCAGATATGACTTGCTTGGTCAGCCAGAGGTGCTGGGCCGAACCAACGACCATGTGTATATTGCAAGGCACTTATTGCCGCTGCTCCACACTCCCTTTGTCAACCATTGGCCATGTCTAATAGAAAGTTTTTGGTCATATTCATAATGAATGAATGATTTCATTGTACCGGTGTCGCAGCTATTTTTTTCCAGGGTTCCTCTCAAGCAGAAAGAATTTATGCGGACTTCGTCTTTGTTTGTTTTTAAGACAAGCAGCTTTATTTTATCCCCTCAACGAACTAATCTGCGAACCACACCGAAATATTTACATTTTTCATCCCATTTTCTCAATGTTTCACTTCTCTTCCACTCCCGTACGCTTTCTTTTCCGATGTTTTCTTATAGTTTGCTTTTCCTTTATTTTACGGACTTATTGTTTTTATTCGAAGCTGTGATACCGTACTACTTAAGCAGAATTCTTCAATCGATTTTATTCGCAAAGGGTTAGACGCTAGCTTTATATCACCACGTGCTCGACGTGATATTTTCACGTATCCATCACGTGGCTTTCTATAGTTGTAATATCGAAGATGCTTGAATTGATGGTCCGTCTTCACAAAAAGTTGTTCGAGTCCCAGTATTATAGTTTCTATACGACCGATACTTTCTAATTGATTTGCTTTCTCACACTCGCAAGATACCGTTAACTACGGCGCCTAGGGGACTGGTGTCCACGTGTTGCCACTCTGTCCTACCTTACGAATCGGGGAGAGGTCTAAAGCCTCGCACTAAGATTTCTCTTTTAACCGGCCAAATTAGCCACCATAAGTTTATTCTTGGCTGATTTTACCCGGGTAACAATCTAGAACACTTTCATATCTTGGCTCTGCTACTGCTTAGGAGATCTTCTATGCGTTGTAAATTCGTGGTCCAATAGCTGAAAGGGATACTTCATTCAAATAACCATTATCATAATGTTTACCTTTTTGTCTGCCTCCTATTATTTCTTCACAACTGGGTATTATGTGACATAGAACCGCAGTGATGCTGAGATATTTGCAAATCTCGGAACCCTATGTCAAATTCCAATCCGCGATTACCCTTTCTGAGGGCTTATCTATTATCCAGTGCAACTCCTAGGCCCGTGCTTTGCCTTTCTCTCAACCAGTTTTTACCCTAACAGTGCTATCAGCAATCTGTCGTTAGCGACAATGTCATAACGATGAAGCGGTTGACGATTGGACGGAAAGTGATTATGACGAGAAAGTGAATCGTAGTAAAAAAGGAGGAAAATAAAAGAGGACTCCAAAGAGGACAAAGTATGAAGACTCCAGTTATTCTACTGATCAGTGTAGCTCTTAATATTTAACAATGATTAAGAATTGATTGTAATCAGTGAACTAGGCTCTTTTCTCAGTGAACTAGGCTTTTTGTGCTTGTTCCGTTTGTAGTTCTAACGTGTTGAAACATTTGCTTGTGGTCCCTTTTCTTTTCTTTCCGTTTGTCCGAGAGCGTTATTTAAAGCACTGTATTGAAGAAAAAATCATTAAACTTTTTTTCAGAAGTGAAGATACCTTGGGCTAAGATCGGCGGGAACTCTTCATGGTGGAAAGACGTCTAGCCAGTAATCGTTGCATGTAACTGGCTGGCATCACGTCGTCGTTCACACCGACATGTGAGTTTAATTCGAAATTTCCAAATTTTTTTTGATCAAAATATGTTGAATAGTAAGTTATATTAGTTAATATGCCCAATAGTTAACCTTATTACTAAACTGACGAAATTTCTAGTGTTCAGTTGATATTTTAATGTGTTGGACCCTTGCTTATTTGAAAACAAAAACTGTATTGCCTGCCGAGCACTGTTGTAACGCTGTGGTTAGGGGTACTCTGCGCGTAAATATGGTCGCCAGTTCGATAGCGCGCTTGACCGGCCAAACCCCGTCATCCTTCCTTTGTAGGGCGGCCAATCAGGTAGTAGACCTTAATGTGAGATCTCGGTGGAGTCAAATGCTTTGTGCAACCCAAAGGAAATGATGAACGTCGACCGCTTTATGTTTCTGTCACTCACTGATCATTGGCTGAGTAAGGTGGACATCAACTATGTCTGCACTTATTCTTGTCATATCTTCTGATTGACAACGCATTCTGCTCGAATGTAGTCAAACTTCATTATTCATTGTCTCCATGGTGAAAGCGATGAACACCGCATCCGCCCTACAAGCTGTTGCTATTCAATCGCTTTATTTATCAGACTATTATGATCATCTTCTTCAGAGGTCCATCTGAAATCGTATCATTTGGGGTAGAGTTCAGAATTGTTTGATTCATTTGCATCTCTGATTCAAGAAGATTCTATTCATTGAAGAAAAACTCCATTAGTCATCATCTTAACGACATGTTGAACGACTACGAACTTACTTCGAAATCTCTCATTTAGGTAGTTGAAGTTTATGAGAATGTAAGAAAGCATCAACGAATTTTACGAACTGAAAGAATATTTCAGCGTTGTCCTCGTCCCCTTTAACCAATGTTCGACGACTCCATGGGAGCCTTTCATGTTATTTCGGCGTCGTTTCCTGCTTCTAAGCTCTGAAATCCGATCGTCCTTTAGGTTCACCTAGATATATTGTGTTTTTCAGTGAAAACAAAACATATGTACGCTTTGAGGTGTCACTTGCACGTTCATTGTTTTCGATAAGAAATTTCGCCATCAGTTAGGGCGAACACTCTTCTCTGTCTTTTGGGAGCCATCAATCGGTAACGGATTCATATCCAAAGGCTTTAACATTAACTTGTCCTTTTTTGATCCTCGAGCGTGACTTTTAAGACGGTATACAAACATATCCACAGGTTTTCATGATTCGTTGAAACAATTATATCTTTTTTATTTATGTACCGGAATTCAGGAAATCTATTCTCTGCCACTTATCAGTGTCACTCGTAATCTTGTTGTTAATCGGATAACTCGACTGGTAACCAGTAAAATCTCCATTCGTGCTAGTGTGCGAGAGGAGGAGTCGTGCCGGAAGCTCTCATTGCGATCGGCGTTCTCGAGACACGCGATGAGCAACACACTTCTAGTACAATGCCCTTTGGTAAGACATTAACCTGGGATAGCACGAAAAGCCTAGAGGTGACGTAGATTTACACTTAAGTGGACTTTTGGATGGTAATGTAGACCTACTAATCGGCTGAACCGACTGTGCTAGGCTTCTTGTTGACACTGATCAACACCTTCACTAACGATGGCATGAGCGAACATGGGGGTCTCCTTGTGGTATCCATATTCATCTCAATCTCTTTCCATAAGCCTTTCTTCACTTGGTTTCTTTTTGATTCGACAGAATTTTAAGTACCACTTTTCGATAGGTATATGAAGAGTGAAAATAAGTGATCTTAAAGCCCAGTCATACCTACCAAACTTACCGTTGGCATAAAAGGACTTCATTTTCGAGTCAAAGTGAAATTAAAACTTGTTCTATTCAAGTGAGTACTGCGAAAAGTTTGACGTATGTAGAAGGAGTCCGTAATATATCTCAAACACCACGAAAACATGTCCATTACAGTATCGATGTATTTATTTAGCGCTCATCGCGAAGCAATGGGTGCTAGCCTGACATCACCAATACCACATCGACCACCAACATCGGTAAGCTACCCAACCATGACTCTTCAACTGAATTAGCAGCTAACAGTAACTCATAAAACAACATCTTTACAGGTTTGCAACCATTTGTTTTCGCCTCCAGATGCGCCAATATTCGTACCGAAACGTCAATCTGTACTTATGCAAGGCTGGCAATGGAGTAAAAGGAATATACAGAACATGCAACCAGTTAATAGGAAGACCATGAGTAAAGGAACAGGTAATATCGAGTGGTTATCTGATACAAGGGATGCTCGTTGTCGAAGATTCGACGTGCCAAACTACTCGTTATCACAATAACCCATCGAACAATGTAGTACGGCACTGGTGGTTTTTCCTTCATAATCTTAGATATTTGCAGAAAAACGAACACTCTTTGTACTCCATTTTCACTGGTAAACTAAAACTTGGGTGAAATTTGTCCTTACATCAAATTGTTTTTACACTGAAATTTTTTGGATTCGGTGGTGCATTTCGAGCAAAAGTTGGTTGATTTAAAATCTACTCTACTGAGATCCATTAAGTAAGCACACCGTCACCAAGCTTTCATATGGTATAAGAACGTTTTCTTTCAGACAGTGTAGGTTCACGATCCACTGACAGTATGATGTCGTATCGTACACATCGAGAGCTACCGTATCCACAAGTTACCATAGCACTTGACGATAATCAAAACTACAAGAGGTACGGTAACTTACACAATAACGCTTATGACAGAAATTCAGTTGCTTTTGTCACTCATTGAGCCATCTAATAATGTGTGATAGAATGGCTCATGAAAATTTGAAATAGATGTAACTAAACAGCAAATGAATTTTAAAGGTGCGCTCTTATTACGATGAAAATAATTACAGTTTCAAATAGAAACACCTATAAAAGTAAAGAAAAGACCGAGTGAAAAAGAGAAAATAAAGAGGGAGAAAAGAAAAACAGAAGAAAGATCAAGATAACGGCGATCTGTGGAAGCTTCTTTGTTTCGAAAAGCACCTTGCAATTTTCTTCTATGTAAGAAACCTTAGGAATCTAGAAGAAACAATATTTATACTAATTCATAAGCTTCAGATATGAACCAGAAACAAACGTGATCTCGAATTTCTACAGTATTCGTGAGGAGATCAAACGTGAAATGCAATTGAATAAGCAGGACTTAGTCAACAATAACCTGGTCAGTCCAGAAGTAGCATCTGCTCGAACACCGCTCAGTCCTACTCATACAAGGTAGGACATAACATTTCATCGAATTTTTCGAAATTTTAACAATCCTGAGAAGGAAAAATGTAGTTCAAGGCACCTTGTCGCACCTACTTATTTTCATAATTCTCTATGGAACGTACGATGACCACTTTAGTTTAAATGAATAAGTTTGGTTCCCATGACGAACTGGTTTCAGCAGTGTTTGAGACCCCAACGAGAGGTTCTTATTCACGCAACGTTATTTAAACATGGCAATCTTCCGGGAAGAAATGACTGAATACGTTCATGAATTAGACTTTGAACGGCTACAACTGCGAATGCTCTAGTTATCTATGGAACTATCACGGGAATAATGTGCAGTGGTCGTAATTATGTTGAATATTTCAGAGCGACGACAAAAGTACCAATGAACGACACGTCACATAGAAAAATCATCAGCGGTGAATTGATAAAGCCCGTGGATATAAACGTTGAGAAGAAATTCGTCAAAAACTCTGTGGATATCAGTGTGAGTCATTAATATAAGCCATATATAGCGTAGCGCTAAATCGAATCGTGGATTTCCAGAAATCAGTTGTTTTACATGAATTTTATCATTATAAAGAAACTATTGCCATCAGAAGCTTGTCAACACATTTCCCTTAAGTGAGGGGTTTTTGTTTCATTTGTTTCGTTATTCGCACGAATATCTTTACAGCCTACTCGACGTCGTACTGTAATCCAGGCGTCAACGTCGGAGTTACTGCGGGGTCTCGGCCAGTTCATTGCGCAGAACAGTCAGATCAAAGCCTTTGAGCCTGCTCACTTGGTTATGTGGTTACGAACTGTCGACCGAGCTCTACTGCTGCAGGTGGATTTTCACTTTCAGTGATATTCCTCACTGTATACAATCCTCTGTTTAAAACAGAGTCAACTGAACTATTTATCAAGACTTGAGAAGCATAGGTGTATCGATTATATAAACTTTCATCGCGGCTAACCGAACTTTACGACTCCGATAATGTGCAATTTGCGAAATTAGTGAAGAAATAGTTGTCTCCACCCTCTGTCATTCTTCCGCTTTCTGCCTTTCCCTTTTCGTCGCTCTCTCCATTTCCCTCTTCTCCAAGACCTTCATGTTTTGATTATTCATTGAACGGCCAGGAGAGAAAATGAAGCAGTCGAGTTCTATCCTAAAGCTGTCTAGTGGGAATTGCTAGGCGCCGCTTCGCAGCGATTGCAAAAGCTGAACGAAAAGTTGAAAAAAGTGCTAAATCTCAAGCTATGCTTCTCTTGGGGACACACCAATGAGTCAATGAATGGCATCACGTATTACGAAATTCGTAGAGCTCTTGCCTGTTCTAGAATTAATTTCGATGCTGATCAGTAGAAATAGGTGAATTCAGGTGAAGAATGGGATTAAATGGATGAAATAGTGAGTGAATGAATGAACGAACGAGTGGAATGAATGAATGAATGGAATGAATGAATGAGTGGAACGAGCGGATGGAATGAATGAATGGAAAGAATGAATGGAATGAATGAATGAATGAATAAATGAATGAATGAATGAATTCTATTGGGTCAATCCAGAATGTTTGTTTTTTGGATTATTTGAGAGCTACCTTAGCTGGAAAGATGATATTTCCACGATATATATGAAGTTGATAGGATTACGGTAGCCGTTATAGTTGCACATGTTTCTGGAGAGAGTGAAGCTTATGTGGTGCCTAAATGAGAAGTAATCTTCTTATATCAGTTAAAAACGTGTCTTTCCCAATATTTTTACTTGGGATATTGTATGTTTTCGCATTTAAAGTTAAAATTGAAACTTGTTCTTGTAAATAGTTGGCTCCTAGTGTTTCGGGGTGGTCTCGTCCATTACACATATCGGTGGAGGTTTTTACATTCGATTTCCGCTTGTCATGACTATTTGGCGTCTTCATATTTCCGGTTGCGCGTTCACGATTTCCGAGAAAACGTTACACTCCTTTTCGTGAATCGTCAGCAGTCAGTGTTTTCTGAATAGTAGGCAACAATATTATCCGTTCAGTGAGCTCGAAGGGATCAATGAATTTCTCAGTGACCTTGAGAACTTCACTATTGTAGAGAGGAGATTAAAGCCATGGATACTTATGGGTGAGGGATAAAGGATAAAGCATTCAGCCTTATCTAATCTCTAGGAATGCACTCTATACTTTTCTTTCCATTAAGCATCTCAGATGTAATTGAGTGCGTATTTGTGCCATGAAAGTACGTTTAACTACTGATGTATCCAATCAGTTTTCATGGTGTCCTGAGTAAATAAGTATGGTACGAAAACGTTGACACCGGATAGAGGGATGGTTTTTGTTTAGGCTTAATTTTCTTGAACGGTCCATTGAACCAGAAACTGTGTGTATTGGAGGGCACTGCTGGCCACTATGCCGCAGGTGCACTATAGGTGATCACTTGCGACAACAGAATTTAATTAGGAACAAACTAAGTCATAAACTTTTTAAAGTGGAACGAATGAAAAGTTTTAATGCTGATGTGGCTTCTTCAATGACAAAAATGTTCGGAGAAGTACATGAACGAGAAAACAGATGTGATTGATTCAGCACTTGGTGGATCGTCTTTGTATTCTTTAGTGCTAATCAGGTTTTTAGAACAAAAATTCACCAGTGGACAATTTGAAGGCCTTGGGGCTATTGAATAACCTAATTTGTCAATCTTCATTCTTTTTTCACTTTTTCCCATTCTTCCCGATTCTCGACAGTTACTTAGTATGGCTAAGAATTGAGAACTGCAAAAAAGTCATCGTTGGATTGGATATCGTTTTTTGTATGAGATCTTAGTAGAACTAAATTTAAACTCAAGTAGCTTCTCTAAAACCTAAGGATATATCAAGTAAGTGCTTTTGTTGAAGAGATTGACAATCAGACCATATCATTCTAAATTTGATCACCGTAGCATGTTTTTTTTCGGCCATATCCAGCAAATCTATTGTACCAATCTTATAGGGATGGCAGGACGTCGCATTCATCAATCCTGCAAACTTAGTATTCGTTTTCCTCATAATAAGAGAAGTGATTCCTGGTGAGTTACGTTTTGGACCGTCTTAATAGAAGTAAGTCAGTGTTTTTTACTTTGCAGTGTGTCGTTAGCATTTTGTTAACCAGGGCTTGTGAGCCGATAATGTTTTTGAAGAAGAATATCTGATAGTCCGAGATTTCTTTTTAAGATGAGGAATCGATTCACACCGTTGACGATCTACACGCTTGGGTGTTGACATGTCTCTATATCAGCTACTCCTACATGGGGAATGAAATTTCATACCCATTGAAGCCTTTTCTTATTGAATTGGTGAGTTCAAACGCTGTCATAACATGTATCCCTTCATTGCTAAGCTAACAAGAATTTGATAAGCAATTTTATTCGGCTAACGTTTCGACGTCTTCGTCTTTCTCGGATCGGATTATCCAAGTCGATGTTCACAGTCGTTCGTGCTCTCGATATGGTGTCTTCGTCGTTGCATCGAGTCGGATCTGTTTCAGTGAAGGACCGTGCGAATAAAGGAACTTTGCCCGGCAGTACTCTCTTATAAAGGACGGCTTTTGTTAACAATGATTGTCGGCAAGCAAGAAGTTGTTTTTCCTGAACAATCCATCCTGCCGAAGTCGGTATCGTTATCAGTTAGCTTAAAACGTAACAATGTTTCAAAAATCGACTTTCCTTTTACCTCAGTGTGAGTAGTCAACAAGTATTCTTTCGCTGATAAGCTAACACGAGGTTGTTAAAAAAGTGACAGTTCATACTTAACAAGTGTTATAACGTGGGAAGTATTGACTATTTAATGACTTAAATGCGTTGGTCTACGCTCAATAACTCACCATGTTTAACTTTTTATTTCTTGTCCATTATTTTTCCACGGCAGGATATTATTTGAAATGCAACCGCAATGATCCAGAGATATTTGGAAAACTCGGAACTTAAGAACATCTTCGAACTAGGAATTATGCGTTCCGGGGATTCACGTATTACCCACCGCACCACCAAGGTCTTTGCTTTGCCTTTCTCTGAGACAGTTTTTACCTTAACGGTGCTATAAGCAATCACTCATCTACGGGAACAATCTCGGGAGCAGAAATCGATATTGAATCCAGTTAGGCGGAGACTGCAGTCGAAGTCACAATGATTTTGGGCAAAGCAAGTGCATCAGTGATGCAGTGGGTAACACGCGAGCTTACGAAAAGGGTAGTTGCGGTTGCGAAGCTGGCGTGGGGTTCCGAGTCTTGTAGATATCTCATCATCATTCTATTTGTAAAACTACTTTCTCAACGCCATGTTTTTGTTTTATGCAAATTAATGGTGATAGAACCGAGCCTGGGGAGAAGCTCTGGTGTAAAAGGTATCTAGTCTTAGCAAGAATTATTAGATTATGAAGCGGTGACAATTCATGTTGAACTTTAGGATCGCGATAAGTTTTGGGAACGATGTGTGGCGATCGTGACGAATCATAGTGATGATATGCTTCGTCTAAACTCGTCTTCGGCTTTCTTCACAGAAGTGTTCAGTGAACTGAAAATGTATTCAACGGATTACTAGGACGATTAGCAACTGATCCGATGTTTAACTCACTCCAACAAGTACTCAAGCCATTTTACCACTTTCATGCACCACCACATTCCGATGTTCTCGTCAATGGTGAACATCAAGCCGTTGTATGATGTTCTTATCGTTGTGATATTCAGCTGTACCCATTCTAATATCATTCACTGAACTCTCAGCTAAATAATCTCTTTATCCACTCTTCAACTGTTGTTGTTCCGCCTTTACTGCTTACTGATCTCTTGATGGTAACGATCTCCTATTGTTCTATTTTGCTTACTACGTGTGTTTGTGATTTCGCGAACTTGCCCACTGATCTCTCGGTGATTTCCTAGTTATATAGTGTAGATGACGATCAGCTCACTTTGGAGGCATCTTTAATGGATATTTTTTTGATATTTATGCACTAACGAATTTCATACCAGTCGTTTTAGAAAGTTTTTCTGCAGAATTCACTATCTACACATCACCATTCTGCTCTTCGAGTGCCTGCAGATAGTTTTGGTGTCACGATCCCGAATTACCAGAGAAGGGGAGCCTTCCCATGTAGTTGGTCTGTGATTTCTATTCTATGGTAGTGGTTTAGTATTTACATTAGTAACCGGGCCACCTTCTCCGGGTGATCATCTGGCGATAGTGTCGTCCGTAGTGGTGGTTTCTCACCTATAGGACTGCCTACAGAACGATGACATAGTGATGTCGTCCAGGTCATATAGATCGATTAAAAGTCCATCACCTACTACGATTATGCAAGTATCCTCCAGAAAACTATTCATTGTTCGTTAGTACCTGTGTGATCCACGATTCTCATTAACGTGTCTCCGTGGGCAATGCATTTTCTGCCACATTATTTCACAGAAATCTCTTCTTACTTTGCATTTACAGCACGTATACAAAGCACCAGTGTTTATGATCTGTTATCCAAGCGCATTTCGTTTCCGATGCATTGTTCATCATCTAGTCTCACCCACCCCTCATAACCTTTAGTGTCCTTCCTAAACTTTCTGCTTCTTGCTCAAGTTCACATCTGATAAATCGTAGTTGTTCGGAATCCTCATCATTTACACTCCGAGGTTATTCCATGGATTTCTATTGTTATGATGGTGCTATTCGCTTTTTCCTATTCACAACCGTTTCTCATTTCTAGCTGAGTGAGCGTTCTTTTCGAAATTTTTCCAGTTTGTCCTCTGAATTCCTGTGCTTTTGTGGGTTCATATTGCAAATCATGTTGTGCCAGTATGTATATCATCACAAATTGAACAGTTCATTCTTCATATTGTATCGTTTATACGACCTGTTTTTTTCTTCCTGACATTGACTATGAAGTTTCTGATAAATACATCCATTGTTTTACTCCCAAATGTTTCGATTCAATTGATGGTACGGGGCTTTTATTTAGAACGTTCTCACGAAGACGTTATGCTGTGAAGAACATATCTTGAAGAGCAACTGCATCGAGCACAATCATCATCGGTTGGGGCAATTTCGACGAGCTTTGCTGAAATAGTGAAGCTCTTGAAGGAGACCAACTAGAGTTCAGTGGCCTACGTCTTTTAAATAAGATATGGGCTCGGCTTATGCCTCTTAACTTGGTCAATAAAGAAGTCCATATTCTTAAATAATGTATTAAATTATGTTATAATGTACTAGTAAGCCATACTAGAGACTCATTTGTCGAGGTATTCTCTTGTATCACCTCTAGTTCCGTTGATTTTAGAGTAACTCTGCGGAAAACTGTAAAGACGTCATTTATTCCTGGTGTACGCCAGAAGTGCCGCATGAACCACATTCTTTTGAAGTACGCGATGAGCACTAAACTACTAGTGCAAGTTACTACTGATGTTACTTCCTACTGATGTTGGTGAGTAGATAGGCATAGGTGGCTTGCCGATCCTCTCTTTATGGATTGAATGTTCTGCTTCGGATTCACCTGGCGACGCTCTTTTATACAGGATGCAGATTGTTGATAGTAGTGATTGTCCAGTGATAACCACTTGTTTTTCCGGGACAATCTATCCTGCAGAAATCGGTATTATTATCAGTTAGCAAAGAGGACAACAATATATGAAAACCGACTTTCCTTTGACCTCAGTATGACAAATCAGTATGTATTTTTTTCTTTAATGGACTCGGATCATCGGCTCTGATAAAGACGAAACCGTCGAGAAATTGGCCGAAAATAAAAATTATTTATCAACCTCGTGTAAGCAGATCAAGGAGAAAATACATATTAAAAAATGAGTCAGCTCAGAGCAGGTGTGATGCAATTATTGACAGCTCATGAAATTTGACGTTATCACTTTCAACTGTTCATTGCTCCTGACGGCACCTTCAAACTGAGCTCACTGGAAAGACTTTCACCTTTTCGATGCAGCTACTTCTGTTCGAAATCACAATTCCAGCTCTTGTTTACCGCATAATAATTTTCTTTAGTAAAAGTTCTTACTAAAAGCTCCCATATTTCATCTACGTTCATCGTCTCAACAACCAACGCATTATGTACCATTTATTTCGATGTTGATCGTTATCAAATACTACTGCATAGTGAATTCATATATATATATATATATATATATATATATATATATATATATATATATATATATATATAT